TATATATATATATATTTTCAACATCCATAAAATTATCGTGAAAAAATAATATATATATATAAGATATAGAAGTAGATATAGATTCAGCAGTTTATATATATTATATCATTTAATGAATTATTATTATGAATTATTATTATGCATTTCATGATTTTCGAGCTAAATTTTTGTATAAAATTTAATATTATTCAACAATGCATTGTAAAATCAGTACTGCTCATATTAAAATAATATAAACAGCTTTCAATTTTCACTTAATATTATTTATTAAAGAACTTTATAATCATAAAACTTATCAAACACAAGTTGGTTGCTGGCAACTTGGATTACAAAAATACTGTTTGTGTTTGAAATTAGGATTCATGAGTTTCTGGTGACAATCTGGTCATTTTGATCATAAGTTATACCTAACATTATTGAAGAGATTTTTGTAAATTTAAGTGTAGACAATGGTCAGCTGATAAGTATAAATGCGATTTTTTGATGAATATCAAATTTTGTAATGCACTAAGATAACTGGTCAGTAGATGATTGCGCAATCTGATCAATTTATTTGCATAACAATAATTAATTTGGATTGTCGGAATAAGTGATCAGAATGATGTTTTTGATCCTTGTAAATGAGATGTTACCTGATATGAGATTATGTTCATCTTCAAATGTCATCTAGACTAATCTATCTAAGAAAAGGGTTGACATTCGGCAGTGTTTTACTTCTTTTAGTGTGTAATGCTAAACGAAAGCACGTCAAACATTTTGATATTATAAAATGATAATTGTGTTGTGATAAAAAGCATATCCAAAGATTAACAGCATTTTCGTCACTTTATTCAAAATGTAAAATACCATAATGGAAAATGAAAATTTATCAAAATTATTAAATAACAGAAGAAAACTTTCACTTATCGAAAAGTTAAAACTAAAATTCAAAGCCAATAAAAATTTTTCAGAAGAATTGCTTAAAAAAGATAATTCGAAATATTTTTTTTAATCGAAAATTTTTATAAACATAAAAACTCAAAATATTTTCTCATGAAATTTTGTGAATGCACTAAAAGACTTACAGATATAAAATATAATTATTAAAAATGCATATCAATCATTAAATTTTTACAGCAATTATTAAAATAAATCAGAAAAAATAACAAAAAATCAAGCGAAAAAAATTGATCGACCGAAAGAGTTTTTTAAAATCCTCTAGCTGAACTAGTTGATTTGAAAAACTAAAAACCAAGGAAAAGCAGAATAAAAATTTATTCGTCAATTTATTTGAAAGTAAACACAAGCAGAAACAGTTTCAGTATATCCTGCATGCTTTTTTGCTATAATTTTAACTTGCATAATCAGAATCAAATTCATATGCAGAACCTTAACAGATAACATTTTAATTCAAAACGATATGTAATCAGTAAGATCAGTAGCAAGTAAGATTCATTTTCATAATCATTCGATGTAAATAATATTTGTAATAAAAATTATGCTAAAATAGCAATTGAAAATTCGATATTGCGATAAATTTTACAAGATTAAGATATGTAAAATTAATTTTTGATATTAATAGATATAGTTAAAAATGTATAATATCGTATTCATGAATATATCAAAATAATTCCAAAGCAATATAATATTTTCATTTTCATAGCTCAATACTTTGATCCAAGATCATATAAAGATCAGTGTGGAATAAAAAATATCGATAAACTAATGTGTAGACCGAGAATATTGACACTTTGTTTTGCAGTAAGTTATATAGCTTAAAACCAAGTCGAGTAGTAGCAAAGTAAGCAGAGCTTGAAAATCAACCTGCCATGAAAAGACTCTTAGCTTAACTTGAATAACATACAATATCAAATTACTTCTCATCTCACCGTTTAAGTGCATATTCTAATGAATTCATGCTTTAGTGAAGACAATATGTTTGATGAAGGAAGTTTTATGCACAGTATTCCAGTGCTTTCAAAAGTACTGTATCATGTTAGACTAAAAAATTGTAAAGACGACACCGAATACGGTAGACAGGTGATTGGAAGGATAAATGGGTTGGTCTAGGAATGATCAAATGGGTTGGACTAGTGAGTCAGTTTTCGCGGCTAGCCTCTCCCATTTTGAGCCTTTGAAATTTATTTTAGTCTTGGAAGAACATTTTAAATTCGCATATTTATAACAAGTACTACTCTTCCTTAGTAAACAACACTTTTCATTCATTATCATCTCAGCATCTATTGTGAGTAGGCTTATTTTTCAGCAATATTTACTGTAATATTTACCGTAATTCACTCTTGCTATCGCTGCACTTATTAGATTTATTTACATAATTTTTTTTAATTCGAAAAAAATCAGAAATTAGAATAATCCTATTCATCTAATCTTAAATGCTTATACGCCAGTTAAAAATGCAATAAGTTTTATTCTCAATTTTTTGATGATAAATCTAAATTTGCGCATTTGAAGAAATAAAGCTTCATTTAAATAATATTTAGTATTTATTTGTAGCTTTATTTTCATTATTCAAACTGTGAGCTTTAATTGATAGTTAGTATTATTGAAAAAATTTATCACTTTAATTCCAAAAATATTGTTCATGAAAAAGAAAGCTCAAATATGCAAATAATACTTTCATTCCTTTACTACTATTATTATGTATTACTGTAAACTATTTTTTTTAGTTGGGTTATAATTACTATTTAATTTATTATAATACTACTTATACTTACTTATTTACTACTATTTTACTATTTTATACTTAGTTTATTTATGAAATATGCTCACAATTATTGAAAATTTTGTTGCAAATCAGATCTAAATTATTGATCGTAAATAATATCAATATTATGATCTTATATATATGTAAAAAGACCACTTGCTATATTCTACCAAATAACTTTGATAATCCTGTAGAAAAGATATCCATTTGAAGAAAAAAAATTATCATGCATAATATTATAATAATCATGGAAATTTGGTTTTATTCAAAAAAGTATGTTGAAAATTTTCGCTTGTCTTTTTCAATTTTTTGATAAGCTTTACTTAAGTTTTAATCGAATTTTTTCTGCAAAACGAAAATATTTCACAGATGTGAAGAAATTAATTATGGTTACTATTTGTGTACTGTATATATGAATTTATTCTGTAAGATTGACTACAAAAAGTAAACCAAGTTATTCTCATAATGCTCACGGTATTTCAGAAAAGATTCTCAAAGATCAGCAACTCAGATCAACACCTATCAATGCCCGAATGCGAGAAAATCAACAAAAAAAGATAGCTTAAATTGAAAAAAAACTTTTTAGAATTAGAATAAAGAACAATGATGAAAAGTAAAGCTTACTTGATAGCATCGCTTTTGGATGATTGCGACGATCGAAAAATGAAAGTAAACTGCGACAGCGAAGATGAACCTCTCGAACTGACCAGTCGAGAGTTTGCTTTTGACCTTTAATCTCAAAAGAATAGGAATCAGCCTAAGCAGAATAAATTCTGCTGAACTCAGACTCGGACTGATTCCTATTCCTTTTTTTTTAAATTTTTAGTGCTGGAAAATTTATGTTCAAGTTCAAATTTTCATTTAAAAAAAATGAAATTAAATGGTAGCAACAACATTACAGATTACTGTAAAATCTGATAATTATTATCCACATTCAAACACATGAATATAAATTTTGGCAATCCAAATTCATATTTATTATTTACAATTATTATTTTAATCACTAAAAAACTGATTATCATTTTGTATTATATATTTATTGCTTAAAAATCTGTCAGAAATAATAATCATCGCTTGCTGCTATTTTAAGACAACACTAATGCTTTACAGGAAAATAGACCGCGATGTCACGGGTTGCTCACATCAAGAAGAACAAATGATGCATAAATTTCTCGGCACACCTTGCCGAGACCTAGTACCACTACCTATGATGCGACATGAGATGCGCATTCTTTCTGATAATATACTCCCTCAATCTTTACCATACAGATTACCATTACCACTTCATTTACAGGTAGGGATATTTTTAGCTCGGAATAAACTATCATCTGATGAATCGTGGTGTGAAGAATTGTTATTTTTATAAACAGGAATATAAATAATCTAGGTTTTTTTGAATACTGTCATTAATATTTTAAAAATATAATTGGAATTTCTCTGAAATTTGTTTGAACAAGAAGTAATGTTATGTTCAAAAAGTCGTCATCATCATACCTTCCCAATCTTTATCATAATATTATTACAGTAATCACCAAATATTTGAAAAATTTGAAAAGTAATATGCCTCAAGAAGTATATTCAATTATTTTGAAAATTTTATTTGCCTAAATAAAAAGAATTCAATAACATCGATGAGTTTTGGCACCAGTCTTGAAAATGTGTTTTTTCACACTTTTATCATATCAAAAATTTGATGTTTTAGGGTTTGTCCCCCTACAATTTGATAAATTTACAATATTCAACTCGGACGCAACTTATTCAAATGCAACAGGCTGTTGGACAGCAATGGTCATCATCATCAGCTACACCACCGTCATCATCGTTATCATCGTTATCATTGCCACTACCTTCATCATCGTCATCATCAATTTCGCCAGTACCGTTAGCAAACAGCCATATGATTCCATCTGGAGAAATTAATTTCAAGTTTCGAAGTAATTACCACTGTTTTTTAAAAATTAGCTTCAAATATCGTTGATCGAATGCACAATTTGATACTGCCAACTTCTGCAAAACAGTCAAGTTATATTTATTTGTATTTTGACTTCCAAATTCAGTCTTGCTTTCTTGACAATTGTTGACTGGCATCAGCTTTGCCTGCCACAGACCATTTGCTATAAATCCTTTTAATATTAATACCATTGGCAAAGTTATTTCTACTTTATTAATAAAATATCGCAATTATATTTTAAATCGATCAAAATGATAAAATTATCATAATGATTATATACCTTTGCAAAAACAATGAAATTTTGATTGAAATTAAATTTAAATTTAATAACGAAATCGAAAGCTTATACAAATTATATTGCTTATAATATTATAAATAAATAACTAAATAAATAAATAATTAATTAATTGCTGGAGGAGAAATTTTTCAGAAATTAATTCAATATGCCAATAATTAGCATATTTTAAGGGAATTTACACCATAGACAGCATCATTATCGAGTGCTGAATGATAATCAATCCAATATTAAAAAGTATCGATGTGATATTTGCGAGAAAACGTTTAGTCGAAGCAACACATTGGTGACCCATAAGGTATACAGTAGCCTTTAATTATTTTAATTGATTACTCTTATAAATCTAACTAAAATTTGAAAAGTATTGGATTTACGATATGACTAAAGACATGAATTGATATCTGCTTCCATGCAAATTTTCGTTTGTTTACTTGGAAGCACTTGAAAAAACTTCTGAAGAATCTTTAAGATATATGCAATGCAAGAATATTGTGCAGAAAATTTTATCTTGAAAATGTTCAAAATTTTTAGTAGAAAATTTTGGCTTTTAAAGCAACTTCAAAGAATTTTAATGAAATTTAACTTTTGAATACTTTGTATTTAAGTGAAGTTTAAGAAAATTTAAAATTTAAAAAACTTTTAAATCTCATCTTTTTAGTATTCTCATGATGCATAGTGTGATATTTTTATTGAGCATGTTCACTGAAGTATCTTGAAAACTAAGTAAGCAATCAAAATGCAACAGTGATTAAGTAATATTTGATATTGTTGATCATAGCAACTTGAAATTGAAAAGGGTACGGTATTGAGTTGTTTTTTGAACAAACTTGAAATACTAGCAATGCTATGAATTATTAATATGCAAAGACGAATAAAATGAAATGCTATAGCAACTTTTTGCTTGGCTTACAATAAGGATAAGAGTGAAGTTGAAAATTCATTCTTTTCTATCATTCTCAAACAAACAATAAAAGATTTTATATAAGCCAAAAAGTATTTTACTTTTTCATAAATTATGAAAAAATTTGTTCAGCATTTCATTGCGAAAGAATAGCTTTTTGAAATTTTTCTAAGTGAACTAAACTTTTTGCTAGCAAAGATATGTGACACATTTAGTTACTGAAAAGAAAATATACTTGAAAACTACGGTATTTGATTTGTAAACATTAATGAATGTCAATTAAGATAACCTATGCTTTTATCAATATGTTGATAAACAAACTAGGGAGCATGACAATCAGTTTTACTTAATGGATTACATTGAAATGTACTGTGATTAGTGTAGTTAATCATACAGTACATTGATGCTTGACCAATCATATCCATGTAAAAATAATATTTAAGCTTTTAAATATCACATTTAGGGTAGTTACTTATCATTTAAAGAAATGCTTTTAATGAAATAAAACTGCTTATTGTAGCTAAGTAATAAGTAATGATAGTCAAAAATATGGAAGTTATTGTGGATTATGGAATAATTTGGAAATTATAATGTATAGTAATGTTGATTGTAAATATATTCTGATATACTTTTCATTAATTT